TGTATAAGCTTTGACTTTATAGAGATGAATAACATTCTTGTTGGGTTAAGTACACGATCTGCACTGCCACAATAGCATTTTCAGCCCGTTAAGCGTATGAGCTCGTCATCGATAAGCGTTATCGATAAACTGAGCTTGAAACGTATCGAAGCACGCGCACGCACGCTTTGGAACGCAATGGAATGAAACAACGACGACGGCGTACAGTTCTTCAGCATGTAACAAACACGCACACACACACACACACACACACAAACACACACCCTCTCTCACACACACACATAGAGAACACTAAACGCTTCTGTAAATACGTAAAATTTGCCAAACCAAATGAAACACTGAAATCCAGAATGAAAAACTCTCGAAACTTTTGCGCAAAGGCAGCTGTAATTTGTATGGGAATGTGTGTAAATAACTGTAATCTGCGTATGTATGCATAACCTATTTTGCTTATCACTTGGTATTACTACAACAACAACAACCACAACAACAGCAGTAATGACAACAACAGCAACAGCAACAACAATAACAACAACGACCACAACGTGTTGTCCTAGTTGTCTCTGTCTCTGTCTTTCACACTAAAACACACGCACACACACACACATACACACACACACAGTCGCACACACACGCGCACGCCTAGCTGTGCCTCTCTCACCTGCCCGCCAGGGACCGTACACAACTGTACCGCAAGCGCACGCACACAGGGTTGCATTGCCAGCCGATTGCATTCAGTTACTAACCTATGCACGATACTCCATTTGAATTTGAATTCAAGGCTTTCCAGAGGCGCAGGACTACTTCAATCAGATACTGAGCGGCATCAATCACGTGATCAAGACGCACATGAACGAAATGCACTCGAAGTTCGAGTCGCAGTTCTCGAATATGGCCGGCGAGGTGAGACGGCGCGACGCCATCATCGCCCAGCTGCAGCTGAAGCTGCGCTCCATCGAACAGAAACCAGCGATGCCATCGACGACGCGCCGCATCAAGCGGGAGAAGCTGCCCCAGCTATCCGTCGACGACGACGAGCCGGCCGAGCAGGATAACAGCAGTTCGGGCTCCTCGGCCGAGTTGCTCTTTATGGTAAGTGCCTCAGTGTAAAAATGAAAATGAGACGAGTATATTGGTTTTCCACTAAGCATGTCCGTCCGTCTGTCTTGTTATGAAAAGCTAAGACTTTTCTAATACTCAATAGGATATCTGACCTCCATGACCTCCACATGGATTGTAAGAGCTGCTTGGGAGTCCCGCCTCAAAATTTGATACTTACCTTTCTGTAAAGCTCTTCACATAAATTCATGTACTATCATATTCTATATATACATAAGTATGTCAACAAGGGCGTGGCAAATCTACGGTCTTACAGCGAGAAATTCCACGCTTCACATATTTGAAAAGTTTACAAGATATATARGTATAGATAAAATATAGATAGGCGTGACAAATCAGAAAAATAAACTACATACATACATCTTCCAATGTTTTTTATCAAGCATATCATTGAAAACCGAATTCCGGCGGAGTTTCACTTGTCACTCTCGAGGGCAATATATAGATCTAGTGCATTCGATAAGAGAGCAATATATTCCAAAGTATTTGAGTAAAAATCAGTAGGCCAATGAGAGATTTGAGTAACCAGCTCTAAGGCCGATGGCTGAATCTGTCGATGGATGGTTATAGTGCGATGATGACTAATGGAAGAAGGAGAAGAGTACAATAGAGTTTAGTTTGAGCTAGAAATAAGAATAAATAAAAGCCTCCTAATATATTTATGTATGTATATATTTCATTGTCGGAAATATGAAGTTTTTAATGAGACCTTTATAGCTTCTTGGAAGAGTATTATTCAGTCGTTTCTCCTTCTTATTTGATACCGAGTACAAAAACAGAGCCTAACTATAGTTGTCAGCAAATTCAGCAAATTGAACAAATTCAACAAATTTTGCAAATTTAGCTTAAACTTGATAATGTTCAATTCATAGCCAATAACTCGAAGGCGTCAGGTGCATGTGCTGCCTACTCAGCTCGTCTAACCAAATGAGCAGCTGAAGTCATTTATTGAGCAATTTAAAAATGCAGCAGACTGTGGACTCCGGCTGCCTCTTGTTTCGCATAGCATTTTTGCAACCCGAACGGCACACCATTAAGCAAATTTCTTGAGCAGCTGTTGCTGGCTTGCCCGTAGGTTTCCTGGACAAATTGTGCATATGCCACGTCACTGCGCCGAGTGCATGTTCGCTTGGCAGGGCAAAGGAAATGCGATGCGATGCGATGCGCTGATAATCCATTTTTGTATACCCTGAACCCATTGGAAATGGGAAAGCAGGGTATGATGGTTCTGTTAAAAGTATGTAACGGGCAGAAAGAGGCGTGGCAGACCCTATAAAGTATAGTGTATATATTCTTGATCAGGGCGACGAACTGAGTCGATATGTTTGTCCGTATAATTGAACGCGTCAATCTCAGAAGATATAAGAGCTACAGACTTTAAACTTTTCTTAAGTTATTATCTTAAAAAATCGATAACTACTTTCGTTATTTAGTTATCGATTAAAAACCTTATCGGTTTATCATTTTAAATATTATATCTCCTAGATCTTCAGAGCTAGAGTCTCCAAATTTTGAACATAGATTCGTATTTATTTTATAGAATTTCGGCTTTTGTTACATTCCGCCTCCCACCCCCAAATTCACATGCCTCTCCCCACATATGTATATAGTCCATCTATAAAGCAAATTATTGAACACTTAATTTATTAGAGTAAGTTTATCTGTTTATCTGTCTGTTTGTGGAAGGCAACTTAGAGTTATGGAAAAATCCTTGACGTTCCTTGAAGAGTACAGGGAATCTCGTAGTCGAGCAATCTCGACTGGAGCTTTCTTACCCGTTTTTCATTGTGCTTATTCTCTTATCCCGGTTTGCCTGCAGCGCGGCGACTCGCTGGACACTGTGTTCACCTCCTCGCCACCCATCCAGGGCCGGCGCAGCATATCGCCCGGCCCCAGCCGGTATCATGCGGCCTCGGCGAATGCGCTCAACTGCCCGAGCAGCTACTACAGCGGGCCGGGCACCTTGGCAACGCGGCACGCGCAGAGCCACCCCAGCTTCTATGCGCCGCACAGCAGTAGGGGCGGGGCTGCTCTGCCCGGCTATCGGGACTGGCATGAGCAGGGCCTGGGGATGGGCAGCAGCATGGGCGGCGGCCTGACAGCCGATAGCAGCAGCAGCAGCAGCAACGCGGCGGCCATGATGATCTCCGATGTGACGGGCAATCTGACTCGACTCTCGGACAGCGTCATTCTGGATATTGGCGAGAGCTCCAGTTCGAGTTCATCGTCCAGCAAAGTGAACGTGGATGTGGACGACGACGACGAGGACGACGATGATGAGGCCGAGGATGAGCTGAGCGGCGCGGCACTCGTGGCGGCCACAGGCAGCAGCAACAACGACTGGGAGGTGCAAATGCTGGCCGCCGAAATGGAGAGGCAGGAGCGCAAGCGCGGGCACTCACTGTCCGACAACCTGGGCGAGCTGCGGCACTGCAGCACGTTTCTGCGCAGACGCCGCAAGTTCAGCGACACCGAGACCGAGTGCAGCGAAACGGACGCCGATGAGCGTCTAGCAGCCGGCATCGGAGCCAGCGCAAGTGGCAGCGCCGCTGGCCAGGCGAGTGCAGCTGTAGAGGCGGATGCCACAGCCAGTGGCAGCAATCGACCGCGCGCCTCCAGCCTGGATCAGTTCAACCTGCGCTATGGCATCGGGCGTGGCATCTTTAAAGCAATGAGCATCGATCGGGACAAAGACAAGCTTTGAGAACTATAATCACAGGAGGACCACGCCAGCACGGACCGACACGACTAACCATCGGACAGCATTACGGAAGGTGCAACAAATACACGACACTACACTTCAGTACATTATATGATTAGCCCTAAAACCATTCACCAGAGCAAGAAACCCACGAAAAGGAGATGAAAGTAATGAAAATGAACACTCCATACAAATTAGAAATTGAGATAAGAGTAAAGAAGAAGAAGAAGAAGAAGAAGACAAGAAACCAAATTGAGTAGCCCATCTACCAGAAAGTCCAGAAACCCAGTTTAACTATTCATTTATTCGCAATTGTTCAACATTCTCCATGTATACAGTATACTCCAGTTATCGTTATCGCTATCACCCTTTATGTTATCGTTATCGTGTTCGTTCCTAGCCATTGCCATATTCGACTTACTCATATCACTTACGTTGCTGTCATTCAAGGCTCTTATTGATTGTCCATCAAGATCGATAACTTTGTCATCTTCATATTGTAATTGCCAACTCTGCTGTTATCGTTATCGTTAACTATCGCCAAAGGCAACCAAAGATTTAGCTATCATACTATATTCTGTTCTTCCACTTCCCATGTTATCGAAATCGATATCATTATATTTTTCATTGTCAGCTTCTTTATATATATATATATATTTTTTGCACTCCCTTAAATCATCTAAATCATAAACATATCTGCATTCAGCTCTCTTGATATCGTTATCGTTTTGCTTAAGATTTGATACATCGGCCATCTGCGAGTACCTAGATATAATACCGTCCTATATATAGCGTCCATGCCATTGGCGCCCATTATATGATTTGTATGAGTATTTCAAATGTGTGATGAGTATAAAGTTCAGATCCATTCATCTTTTGCCTTGGGTCCTGGACGTATCCCGGTGGATGGGCTGCGCCTCAATAGAAATGGCTAATGGAAATACCAAAATGTATATACCTCTTATCCTATTAGGTATTAGTAGTTATATATATATACACAGACACAAACACAAATCTATATATACATCTATGTATATATATATGGTATATACATATATGAATACAAATATTTATATATGATATGATATGAAATAGTGTAACGAAAACCGAAAGCTTTAATAACT